ATGACCTGCGGGTTTCCATCGAAACAGAGCGTCATGTGAACAGCGTCTGTATCAGATTCGATGACGACATCCACTTACAAAGAGTTTACTTCGTCGACATCGCAGACATCAACGCTGTTCTACCCTACCCTAGCGCCAGCGTTCCTGAGAGAGACTCTTCCTCGGCGCTCCCCGGGTTTTACACGACGCCCATGGGGTTCCGTGTTTTATCGCAAAACTCGGGTACACCACTTGATCGTCTCTCACACAGTTCATTGAGGATTGTCTGTGTGTGGAGTTTGCACCTCAGTTCCGACTCCAAGGCGGTTTTCTCGGCTACTGCGCAGAGTGATTTACATGTCACGTGTCAAGTACTCGGACTGTCAACAACTCCGACCGGATTTAGGTCAACTTACCATGGCAAGGGGTGCCATGTATTTCTACAGATTGGTTTCCATGTCTACCTGTACGCTTGGTGATACCACTCAACCAGGCGCCTGTCGCAGTCCATCCATGCACGGATGTTGGAAACAATAGACCTCCTCTACCAACACGGCTGTCACGAGGAACCTTGTTTCATCAACCCTTCGCTATAAGAACGATAGCGCCTATAGGCGTTCAAGGGATGGAAAAGATCGCCTTCCTTCGTCCGGTTTGATCTTTTCGACTACGACACCTTCCTATCTTCCGCCTTGACTACCGGACACAGTGTCGATTTGATACTTAAAGTCCCTCGGCCGTCCCACTGACCCCTGTTGCATACCTGCCTCGTATCGTGTTGTCGTCCTCCATCGTCACCTCGATATAAGAACAGGAGTACTTATACGCCGCTTCAGGGATGAAAACGATCTCATTACTTCGTGCAATGGCCATATTGCCTCGACTTCCTACTACCCGGTTACGTCGATGCCCCGGCGGTCGATTGTGAAGCTAGTTTACTTCGTCTACTTGAGGTTGGCTCGCAGGCGATCACACCTTTTTCCGAATCGTACCGACGGTACGCAATCGCAGACCCCTGTTGCTGACTACCTCCCCTGCCACCTTGTCAGTGGCTAGTGGCCCACGCCAGCCCACATTGTGACCACCTGTGATCCAGAGATCAACACCATAGGCACAGCAACAGCCTCGAGATAAATGCTTATCCAGGACGGCACTTGCTGACAGTGCATTCTCGGTCACGCCCTGTTGATCGTGTCCACTGACGACGTCACCGTAGTGTGGTGTTTGCGGACCCAGAGTTCTCGCCCCTCTCCCGGCGCTACAAACTCGACCGGCGCCCCCGAGAATCACCATCTTAGGCGTTCCAGGCGCCTCAAGCTCTCCGACGCCTCACGCTCTCCGGCGCCTCGGGCCAGACTATGTCAAACGGTCGACACCCCAACCCTAGATCTGTTTGCCTCATATCTGAATGTGGCCAGCAGTCGTCTTCCATTCCACCTGTGCCGGATACGACCGCTGTGGCAGTCAAAGCCTTCCATCGTTCCTGAGAAGGATTACGCGCGTACGCTTTTCCGACTCCGGTTCTCCCTCCCACGGTTCTTCAGAGATCCAGGCCACTCGACCCCTGCCATTGACTTTGGTCTCGCCTTATTGGTCAGCCAGAAGTTGGGTTATCGACCTCCGAAACATAGCCAGAGACAAACCCCTGGAACTTCCTGTGTGGTCCAACCACACGGTCTGTTGCCACACCCTCATACCCGCATGTTATCGTCTGCACGCCTGACACACATGCAGAAAGCCAAGGGCTATTCGGCTAGAGCGACCAAGGCTATTGCTTCAGCCCACCGTCCATCTACAGGGGGACTGTATGCTGATAAATGATGCTTGTTCCAGGCATTTTGTTCTGACAAACACCAGGATCCGATGACAGCGTCACCGCAGATTCTGGATCAGTTCCTTCTGTACTTGTGTAGCACCCGTCGGTTGAAGGGCTTACCACCCCCACATACCTGGTCGCCATCTACTCCGTTCTGGCCATCCCGGACGATCGGAGAAAGACGAAAATTCCCGACCTACGGGCCTGGCTGCGCTCGTTCAGTCTTGAAGACCTGAATACCAAGTTCGGACCGCCTGCGTTGGATCTGAATGTGGTCTTCAACGCCCTTCGAACCACTCCCCTCGTCTTCCTTCTACGACCTTAAGTAGAAGACGGGTGTTTCTACTGGTTTTGACTACTGCCGCTCGAGTCCATGTACAGCACGCCCTCGACGTCTCCCATGCCCGGTTCGAATGCGGTACCCAGGGCGCCGTTCATCATGGACCGTACTGGGACGTCAGCGTAAAGACTCAACTCCCAGGACAGCCTGATAGATCATTCCTTGTCCCCTCCCCCCTCGTCCAGTGTCGGTGCCGAGGATGAGGATGAGCGTCATTATGCCCAGTAAGGGCACTGAAGGTTATTCTACGATCTAAAGACTGCCGCAAGTCTAGGAAACACCTTTTTCTGCCGGTCTCCCCTTCGTCGCTGTCGTTTGTCAGCCGGAATACTTTTCCCTGTGGCTCCGGGCGGTCATCCTTAAAGCGTATGAGCCGCCGGATTGGACCCTCCCCCCAAAGGCTATTACCTGAAATAAAATGAGATCAGGGCGATCGTATTTACACTGGTTCTTCACGGTATACTGTTCCATCCCGTCGTTCAGGGAAGCCTGTTCGTGGCGATCGGACACCGCCTTCACCAACCACTACTTCAGTGATGTAGCCTTGAAAGTTGTCGCCAGCGTTCACAGTTTTGGTCCCTGGTTGTAGCCCAACAGGTCATCTATCTCCGACGCCACTGATTCTCCGATACCCTGAGCGGGGCCCGTCGACCTCTCTGGTGTTTATCACCCCAGACGAGACGGCTCTCTTGCGTTCCGCATTCGCTCTTAGGTCAGTTTTAGTTTTGGGTTACCCGACTCATTCTATTGCTGTCACCTATCCGGGTTTTACTTTTTGCATCAACTCTCGTTTCCTGACGACAGGAATGGTAGTAGATGTGGACACCGGCGCCGACGCCAACGCCGCTGCTTCTCTGGTACCTGAGCGGTGCCCGTCGACCTCACCGGTGTTCCTTGCCTCCAGCCTAGAGGGCTCTCCTGCGTTTCGCATTCGCTCTTGGGATTGGTCGTAGATTTTGCCGCCGACGCCGCTGATTCTTCGATTCCCCGAGCGGGGCCCGTCGAACTCTCTGGTGTTTATCACCTCAGATTAGAGGGTTCTACTGCGTTTCGCTTTCGCTCTTCGGTAAGTTATATATTTTGGCTACACGCCTCATTGTATGTCGGTTACCTATTCGGGCGTTTCGTTTTTGCATCGACTCTTGTTTCCTGAAGACAGGAATGGTCGTAGATGTTCCGGTCATCACTTGTATGCGGTGCGGATTCATCGGACCTTGACGAGGGTTTAATATGGTTCACATCTGCAGGTATGCCCACCAGCCAAGCCGTCTGATAAAGATGCAATACGGAGTAATGCAGGATAAGTTAAAAAATTTAGTAAAATCTAAATATTTTTTACATTTGTATACTTATCCTGCATTACGAAGTCTAAGTGCCCTCCCTTTCGCTACGCTACCTCCCCACGAAGTTTCAGATGTTATGTTTAAAGCAGTTATGTCTTTTTGTGTGACGTCATGACTTCCGGGTCACGTGCCGACTGTGAGAGGGCGCTGCCTCCTGGGCTGGTTGGGACAACTTTCTTCAGCAGCTGGATCTCACACAGTTCGTCTCTCTGTCAAACATAGCAGTAAATGCAATACGGAGTAATGCAGGATAAGTATACAAATGTAAAAAATATTTAGATTTTACTAATATTGTAATAATGGTCTTACCTTGCAAAGTGCATCAAATCACTTGAGCACCTTGATTAAAAACAGGAAAAGATTTACAAAATATCTGTGCAAAATATAACATTCTTTGCAAACCCTGCAGCTGACCGAAATCCATGTTGTTTGCGAACTGGATGTTGATTTGACTATGCTCGTGAGTCCAGCCAAGATGTAACTCCGGAATTCCAGCCTATTTCGGCAAGGGTGGAAACTGGACTTAGTCAGTTAACACCCTTGCCCAAGGACGTTGGTATTATCTCGATGATTAAGATGTCGAAAAAAGTGAGATTGTCCTGGTATGGAAATAAGAGAATTGTTCATAGACCTCTGGTAACTGTACTTTGTGTTAACTTTCCGGCCTCTGTTGATTCCAGAGTAGTGAAAGAAGACAGAAGTCACTGACATCCAAAACATAAATGACAAACAATCATCTCATCACACACAATCATTCCTGAAAAACTATGACAACACACAACACAACCAAACTAACAATCTATACTTACAAATGTCAACTTCTTCAATATCATGCACAAGCTATCCTGACAACACAAGTAAATTGGAATGAGAGTTATCTCCCTTACATCAGTAGTTTACTGTTATGTAGCTGGAATGATGCCAACAGTTTTAAACAACCTTGATAATATAATGTATATGACTACTTTTCCACAAGCTTTTCCACCTGGGATTTTCCATTTTGGGATCATCTGTGTCCAAACTATTTTGAAAATTGACTTTCCAGTTGCTTTTTTTATCACAAATTAAGCCATTTCCATCATTACTCTTGTTTATATTACTGTAACATAGGACATGATCATTGTGATACCACCTTTAGTTTCAATCGTTTCCATCGTTAACTATCTGCCTATATAACTAGTTTCAGGTCATATTTGATATTCAGGGCAACACTGACAGTGAGATAGACGACTGAGAACATTATGATGTATTCAGCAAAACTTTAGATATTCTTGATAGAGATTTATACTTTACTAACCACTTCTTGTTAGGCAGGCTAACACACCAGGCCAGGCAAATCAGGCATTTCCACATCCCAGCTTGTGAGATCACTACGAGATTCACTGCGGTATATTGATGACATTATAATGATCAGGTTGGGGTATTCTGTGGTGGAGTATGTGAGATGTGATGAATGGAGCAACTATGACATGATTAGAGGATTTTGTTCTCACATAGCAATACACTGAACTCATTTCTGCAGGGTTACAAACCTCCGGATGAGACCCCTTCTGAGTATCAGACCATCCCACTCAACAAGATTGAAGACTTTGGTGTGCATTGTAAACAGTAAGTGTTCATCGGTTACTATGACTGTCGTGACGCCAAATAAACTTGCCTTACTAAATTAATTCCTTGTTTGTCAATTTGAATTTCTATTTCATTAAAACTTATCATGTAATTGATATAGTAAGAATGTAAGGGAGAAGTTGGTTGATTTTCCGTTAGTCTGCAATCTCGAACCAATCTTATTATACAGACAACAAAATAAATTAATCTGGAAAACATGGACCGCCATCTACTTTTTCAAAATGAACTATGATGGCATTCCCAAAGAACATACAAAAGTATGAACGTTACTACATTTGGGGTAAGAGGCCATATTTCTAGATTCTTGTAATGGCCGCGCCCACACTGGTGGCAGCGATGTTACCGAGAGTGTAACGAAGGTGTCACTGGCTGGGAAGGAGCTTGGGTATTCTAAGTCAAGGGGAGATAATTTCAGGGGAGATAATAGATTTTTCTGTAACATCATATGGGTTGTGTTTTATTAAGAAGAATTGGATAAACATATCATTACCCTGATTGTCATTGTCAAGTAACAAAATTCCAATGTCATCTTTTCAGCTACTATTCGCTTGAGATCTCCTACTTCAAATCAGCTTTAGATCGACGACTATTGGAGTCACTGTGGAACAAATACTGGGTCAACACACTCAGCTCCTCCAGTCTTCTCACAGTAAGTTGAATCTAAGGGGACCGAGGGTGAATTGGTTCACAGTAATGTCATAAGCTGGGACTGAAATGGGGATCGGTTGATCAAAATGGGCGAGAACAGTTAGAACTTGGATGTTTCAGGTTCCTGGCAGTAGTGTTTAAGTGATTCATACCAAGCACTTATTTTTGGCCATTGTCATACACCGTGAACATGATTTTAGGGTGAGATTTTAATTTAAGGGGGTTCATTCAAATTTATGAGGTTGTACTTGTCCAATATCAAGGCTATATTTTAATTGATCTTTGGTACAATTTGATTCGACAGATTTTTGCCATCCTTTGCAGCCAAACTCAAATAATGTCATTTCCTCTTGTCGTTTGTAAAGCCATGCTCTCATGTTGTCAGAATGCGGACTACATGACTGGTCAGATCTACGACCTGTCCGACAAGCTGGAGCAGTCCGAGGCGCAGCTGGGGAGGGGGGGCTTCATGCTAGGGATGGACACACATGAGAAGAAGTCCGAGGACAAGCTACTTAAGGCTACCAAAGATGGGTGAGTGTTGTGGGGGAGACAGTGGGAGAAGCGTAAGGCTATAAATAAATATTACATTTTGATCCCCACTCGCCTCACCAGGCCTTACATATGTTGTCCCACAGCATCTTCAATGCCATGTGTGTTGCCTTGTCTTTCATGACTTACTTTACTTTACGACTTGTATTGGCTATTTTACATCAGCGCTTGGTATTTTATCCAGAAATTCAGCCTTTGAGACATTCACTTTTAATATGTTAGTGCTTGAGAAAACCCACACTATTCTAGGGGTCCTTGCCTTATGTTAACAATTGAAGGTTTTGGGGTCCCGAGATTCAAATACTAGGAGCAATGCTCAAGGACCCTTTATTTTGAACACTGTATAATTAAAGGGAGACTATTTACAATCAGACTGTGTACCATGATACGTTAATCTGAAATAATTATCTCCGACGGCTTCACTGGGAATGGTACAAACCATTTGAATGGAGTAGTAGTTGGCTTTAGTGCGTCTTAGTACCCGTGACATTTGCTAGAGAGTATTAAGTGGTTAACATGGTTAAGACATAATTATCCACTAAAAATGGCTTTGTGTTATGGATTCCCAGAGTTGACTGAGCAGATTGTTTCCATGGTAACATTTTAGTGGTATACGTCTGTGTCACGGAAGGTTTCTCTTACTGTTTCAGGTGCAAGACCACCATTGAGGCTATTCACGGCCTCATGTCGCAGGTTATCAAAGACCGACTGTTCAACCAAGTCCATTTACCCACCCCTCAGTGAAGAAGCGGAGTCCTCGCAACAGATGTATATAACTTATGATAGTGTCCCCTAAGCAAGGCGACACTGCATACTACGTCATTGTATTGTTTGCCAATCACCAGTGTTTATGAACATGAACTTGCTACAAATTACAGGAATAGAACAACTGTTGAAGATCATATATGCACATGGAACGAAATAGGGGTGGCATATCATTTTGTTTGATGAATGATCACCTATATTCTCAGGCGGGACACTTGATGACATTGTAGTGGTACACAAGATACAAATAACTTTTTTCATTTGTTAATATGAAACAATTATAAGCTTTCTTATGCTGTATTTCTGTATGTTCCTGTTTTTTTATTTTCATCACTAGCGATACTCAAGCTTGGGGAGATTCTTTTATGTTTCAGTGGGTAAAGAAGAAAGTTTATGTCTTAAGAATCTTCATTTTGTATGTATTTGAGTAGAACTCGAAATGTCCATGGGTCAATCTTAACACCCCAGTGTTAGGACAGATATCAGTATGAGGGTTGAAAATTTACGAGTACTTTTTTGGATCAACCATGAGTTCCTGTAAAGACTGACCACAGTTTCCGTTCAGTCCAGTGTTCAGTTCTTGCTTGTCTTCTCTCCTATCAGTTCAGGGTTTCAGTTCTCGCTTGTCTTCTCTCCTATCAGTCCAGGGTTTCAGTTCTCGCTTATCTTCTCTCCTATCAGTCCAGGGTTTCAGTTCTCGCTTGTCTTCTCTCCTATCAGTCCAGGGTTTCAGTTCTCGCTTGTCTTCTCTCCTATCAGTCCAGGGTTTCAGTTCTCGCTTGTCTTCTCTCCTATCAGTTCAGGGTTTCAGTTATCGCTTGTCTTCTCTCCTATCAGTCCAGGGTTTCAGTTCTCGCTTGTCTTCTCTCCTATCAGTCCAGGTTTCAGTTCTCGCTTGTCTTCTCTCCTATCAGTTCAGGGTTTCAGTTCCCACTTATCTTCTCTCCTATCAGTCCAGGGTTTCAGTTCTCGCTTATCTTCTCTCCTATCAGTCCAGGGTTTCAGTTCCCGCTTGTCCTCTTTGGTCATATTCTTCCTTAATAATTTGTCATTCTAAGGAACTACCAGGTAAGTTACTGATAATTGTTATTTAAATGTTGTGGCTTAAGATACAATTCTGAATTCATATCACTTAATGGTAAGAGTGTCGCTGTAAAATCTGATGAATATAAATGACGTTCTTAATTTTTAGCGATCATCATTACAGAGTAATGGCACAGGTCGTGACCTCACTTCAATGCGAGTAGTTCTGTATTTGTTCTGTCTCACCACAGGAAAACAGATCCTTTTGTTGATCCTTTGTGCTAAAGTGCTATTGTTCCAACTTTCGAATCTTAAAGTGTATTTGTACAGAAAGTGCTGTCAAATGTTGACAATAAATACCAAACTGTGGTGTGTTGTGTGTGTTGTATTTGTATATTAGGGCTGTGATTGGTACTTGTGTACTCGGAACATGGGTGGGGTTAGATGGACTCCAATCTCATTTAAAATCAGATCTTAGTTCTCGCTATCACAAAACAAAGATCTGAGGACCTCCCATTGCGGGTTGCATCAGAACGACCTTTCATCCGACCAATCAAAGCGTCGCTTACCAGATCATGAAAGTGACAGTTGGAATGTGTTTTCTAGTCATGCAACCTCGAAAACGTTAACACGGGGTATTCCGAACAACTACTTAATGGATTGAGTTGTCCGGCCTGGTGACTTGGTTAACTGCATGTCATATCCAAACACTTGGAACATGGATCATAATGTCAATCACTGGATTGTCTGGTCCAGACTCAAATATTTACAAGCTGGAAGAGTTCAGTGTTAAACAACAAACAAACATGAGTGGTAGGGAATAAAGCAATTGTCATTTTTACCCCCTGATCAGTAATACAGGGTCTTCATTCATAAGTCCTGTGTGCAGTAATGTTCATGAGTGAGTGAGTGAGTTGGGTTTCATGCTGCTTGTGACAGTACTTTTTACGTCACAATGTGTCAAGTTAATGAGGGAGAAAAGTCCAAAGTGATGCAGACTGGCTAGGTTTTCCAGTTGGTGCAACACATGAGCATAATATGGTCACAGGCGCCACCTACTGCCAGGATCTACTTTTCAAATTCAAGAGGCACTTCATTTATGATCTTCTCTTTAGATCCTGGCAGATGGTTGTAGTGCCTTAGACCTCTTGGCCAGCCACTTGAGTGAACAAGTTTGGTTTGACGCTGCTGATAAACCCATCTTCCCGAGGCAAGGGAATTAACTGACTATAAAAGTCCAGTTTCCACCCTTGCCGAACTAGGATGAAAATCCCAGGCTCGATTGTAGCCCCACCAGTTTCTAATATAAGTTATGTCCCTTCTATGTCCCTCCTATTGACCAATCAGATTCCACCTCTCATATAACTTGCATTTACTTCAAACAAAATGGTGGTGTCCAGTCAAGATGATCTCATTGATAATCAAGATCTATGTTGTAATAAAAAAAGGCCTTACCTTGCGAAGTGCATCAAATCATATTGCACCTTGAACAAATACATAGGAGGATTTGGAAACTATCTGTTGATGCCCAGTTGGCGGTACACATGGTTTGCAAAACCTCCAATCGACCGAAATCTGCACGTTGAAATACGGATGTCTAGTTGGTTAAGCGATTTTGATTGGACTATGCATAGACTCATTAGTCCAGCCCAGTTTGGCAAGGGTAGAAACTGGACCTTTATAGTCAGTTAACTGGGGAAGATGCTATGAACAGTATTGTTTAATATCACAGCATGTCAGCTTGATGTGGAGGAAAACCTGAAGAATTGCAGGTACTAGACATTTTCTATTTTGGAGAAAGCCAGGAGCACAAGTAAAGTGCTGATAATCCTTGAAACATAATCCAGTTGAACTGTTAATTGAACCCATGATCACAGGTTTCTGGCACGAATAAGGGACACAACTCTTTGCTGCAAATTGTGTCCCATTAAGAAAACTGGGCCCCCCAGAGTGAGTTCAGATAGTAATTCATTAAGGAGACGAACACTGTTTTCTTTGTAAGGCTATGTTGATGGAAGCTGAATTGAATTTGAAACCAAACATGCAGCTTGCGATTTCAAATGCTATGTTTGTGATGTCAAATCTCCAGGTAACATATCTCTACACTGAAAAATGTTTACCTCCATTCTACCATGGCAAGATATCAGGTGAACTCTTAGAGTGAGTGAGTTGGGTTTACCGCTGCTTTTAACAGTATTCCAGTTATAATGTGGGAGGAAAGCCCGAAGTGATGCAGGTCTCAGATGTTTACCACTTCGGTGAAACCCACGAGCATGGGTATGGTGCTGACAAACCTAGAAACAATGGGGGCGAACCTGGATACGAACCCAAAATCATAGGTTTCTGGCGTGCCCAAGAGACGCAACTCTGCACAGAGAATCGGGGCGCCTTAGATGACTGGGCCACCTGTGCCCCCTGAACTCTTAGATGTCAGTGGAAATAATGATTAGAGTGGTATGGATTTAGTATAATGGTTATAGTCTCCAAGAAATCACAAACTCGGTGGACTGTTTGGTGATTAAATAAAACGTTTATTTCACTGCAAGTGTTTGCATGACATGGCTTTGGTGTGAGTGTTGGAAATAAAGTTGAAAATATTCTCTGTACACATCAGTATCACAAATGTATTGAAAATAATTCAAAACAGACAACATAAAATAATATATTGGTTTGAACACAACAATTTGCTGTTGAAATGTGTTTTAAAGCATATTGAACTGTGACACTTAACTGATCATGTAACACAGAAGACAAAGTGTTTTGTAGGCGTATCATACACTATTACTATTAGTGTACATGCAAAACATGCAAACGGGTAAACAATATTTAAGAATTGACTGTCACTTTGAGTGAGTTCATTGGAGTAAGCTTGGAGGTTCACACAGTTTAACAATTGCTTTTGAATCATTCACACTTCAATGAACCCATCCAAACTGACGTTCAATTCTTATATGAACAACTATTTCCTGGTCATGTGACCAACCTCTCGTCCAATTGAAAAGCTGTATATGATGTAAACTTCAAATTAAAAAATCATAAAAGTATGAAACATTAGCTTTATAGTTCAGAAAAAGTTATTCTGTTAAAATGTCATGTAACTGAAGTGAGTGAGTTGAGTTTTACGCCTCTTTGAACAGTATTGCAGAAATATCATGGTGTGTCAGCTTAATGTGGGAGGAAAGCACAAGTGATGCAGGTCTTAGACGTTTACATATTTGGTGAGACCCAGGGCACGGGTATAGTGCTGAAAAAACAAAGGTGCAAATAGGGATTTGAATCCACAATTAGGTTCCTGGCGTGTCCAAGGGACGCAACTCGGCACAGCAAATTACGGTGCCTTAGACAACTGGGCCCCCTGAAAACAATGTATGATTCAAGAGGTATCAAAGGGCAGGTAATTTAATATACCATATTTGACGTAATAAGTGCCCAGCTCTAATAAGCGCATAACGGCAATATTTGCTAATACATGTACATTGGCTAGTGAACAATCCCAGTTAGCACCCCTTCCGATTGATCAATATATACAAGACTTATTTATTCGCGTATAATACGTGTTATATGCATCCTAAATTGTGGGAAATTAAATTCTGGAAACATATATCTGTTGTATATAAACATTTCAGGCTTTCAGTATAAACCACGAAATTTACAATCTTTCAACTCTGTTGTTTTTCACCAAAATAATATTCTAATAAGAGCCCCCTATTTCTAACTTTCAGAGCACCCTGGGCGCTTATTATGTCGAATATGGTACACAAAAATGGGGGTTGTGTGTGTGTCAGTCCTAAGAAAAATCTCCATATATTCATGCTGCATTTGCATTTGATCGTTGTAGTCAGTACATTCTTAATACACATGTAAATTTTGCATTGCATAAATTGGGTCTGTAAACATGGTAAACTGACAATTTGTTACAGATAAACAGTTAAAACAATAGACTGATGTCACAGCTGTATTTTCAGAAGATAACAATGAATAACATAATTGTCATCCTCAGAGGTCATCTGAAAGCTGCCAGTGAAGTAGAAGTGATGCACCCTGTGAAGTATCCAGTCTTATTGTCTGCATTTGTGAGTGAGTGAGTGAGTTTGGTTTTACGCCGCTTTTAGCAATATTCCAGCAATATCATGGCAGGGGACACCAGAAATGGGCTTCACACATTGTACCCATGTCGGGATTCGAACCCGGGTCTTCGGCGTGACGAGCGAACGCTTTAACCACAAGGCTACCCGACCGCCCCCTCAGCATTGGTCTGATACCAGTTGTAATAGTGTCTGAGATTGGTTTAATGCCCTTTTGAACTGCATTTCAGGAATATCACAGCATGTCAGCTTCTTGTGAGAAGGAAGCATGACGTTTACCATTTTGGTGAAACCCATAAGCACGGGTACGACTCTGACTAGGGCTGGGACGAGTCCAAATTTACTACCCGGGTATCCGACCCCCTATTACCCAAACCTATCTGGGTACACACTGCAGGTCTCAAGAGTTGGGAACAAAATGTCTGATTGGGAATTGTTTTATGCAGCCCCGGTTAAAACTATTTAGATACATTTATCAAACGATCATATCATGCGTACACTGAAGTTGACTGAAGGTGTATCTTTACTGAAACATATACAAGTCAAAAGGAATGTGTGCATCGCCAGAAATAAATGTGAACATTAGCGACTTGTAGTAACCACTGAGCTATAGTTAGTTTTTGTCATTAAACAATATATCACAGGACTAACCACGGGTCCGGGTACTCCTCTGGGTACCCAGGTCCTACTCAGGACCCACCTGACCCAGGCACCCGAGTTTGCCGTCCCAGCCCTAGTACTGACTAACCTAGAAACATGATTGGGCAAATCATGGATTCAAACCCATGATGACCTGCCCGTGCAGACTGATCCACCCATGCCTTATGTCCTCATACGTGCAGATGGTACTGAACAATAATTGGAACACTTTATATATATTCTTACATAAGTCTAATTCAAGTGTAAAATATTAGAATCACTTTTTGCAATTCTCACATTTTTGTGATCATGTCGATAACATTAACTGTAATAAAATCATAAAATGTATATAACTGTCTAACCACTACATAGTCCATACATTCGTGTTAACAAAGAAACTTGTTAGAACTTTCGTTGGAATACGAGTAGCTCAAATAAAAATATAATTCATAAAATTCTTTAAAATGGCTGAAGATAAAACTTGACCTTCATATGCATTTTGAGCTGACATCAAAGGTCAACCACCACTCATTTAAATAATAATAAGAGGAAGAATAGGAAAACGTTTTGAGCAAAACACACACATTCAACTGAACAGTATGTAAATATACATAACATGACACATTCCTGACATTTTCTCGCTAAAAAATAACTTTCAAGTTAGACATCAGGTAAAAACAGAAATAAAGATAAAAATGCAATTGCACAGGTCAGAAATTTCATAGTATCTCTCCAATTTCATTTAACTTAAAACTAAAACAACACTTCCAATAGAATTTATGCTTTTACATTCAAAGGTATAATTTTGCAATTAAACTTGCTGAAACACATTTGTAGTTGTGTCTAAAGAGTCAGTATATTCATAGCAGCAGCATGATTCTTGAGAGTTCCTGGGGCTTCTGTCCTGCCCCACTATGAATCACATGTAGCACATGTGGTGTCTCCGTGGGCAAGTGACTTTGTTTGAAAACATGCCTCTGTTCACCCAGCAGTGAATGGGTACCCGGTAGGATGAGTTGGTAATATAAATGTTAACCTTCTAGCACCTCACAGGCAGCTTGGCTTGTATACTCCCCAGGGAGGTAGGAATGAAATCGAGGGCACACTAATTCATGGTTAATAGGAAATGGTTACTAATAATGTAGCGCTTTGAGCATGCCCCCGATTGGTGGAAATATAGCGCAATATAAATGGCATCATCATCATCATCATCATCATCATCATCATCATCATATCTCAACTGCATATGTCTGTTTTGTTTTGAACTCTATTAATGCCATCCATTCAATACACTACTGATGAAAATACTGCAGAATTATGTTACTTTGTCTACATGTCTAATCCAAGATTAATATAATGCCAATATTAGTTGTAAATACTTAAAGAACATTCCGAAGATCTATCCAGCATATAAACCATATATGATATCCCTATGTTGAATTCAATGTATCAATGGAAATATGGCACAGACAACTAATTGAAAGTAGGTCACCATTTTTCTTCAGGCTATGACCTTGACCCTTATGGTTATGTATAGTTCCCTTGGCTTTTTAGGAGATATTCCATGATATGATATCCCTGAGATGTCCAAGCACAGCATCTTTTCAAAAACAACTTGCAACTGTGTATGGTCAAATCAGACAAAACCTCAAAGCATCCCTATTTACATTGCGCTAATTATTGAACTATGAACTTGTTTTAACGCACATTGAAATCATTTTATCAGTGGATTTGATTCCTCAGTCGGTGTATACTGAGGATCATAAACCGGGCTATCAGATCTTGTAGGCTTTCCCTCCTCAATAATCTGTACTTCAAAACGAGGCTTTTCGGTGTCAACTTTTGAAAATTCAACCGTCTGCTCAGGTATATGCAATTTCAATTTTTTTCCCGAACGCTTCTTATACTTTGGTATCCTTTTTGACGCTGGGCGTGAATTGACAATATACATATCTGAGTGACGTTTACGAAGTTGTTTTCCATTTAGAAACGGCTGACGTGTCCTAGGCTGCGGAGTTAGTGGCTGTGTGGACTTCAACTTTAATGGTAAATCACATGCATGAAAGGTCCTGTAAACTCGGGCACATGGATCAGCTTCCTTGGGAGGTTCGGTGAGAGTCTTGTAGTGGTCCTCTTCATTTCTACTTATTTTACCCTCAGCTGCAGAAAAGTCATCTTTCAGGTGTACTGAAAATGGCTGCAAAGAGAAATACAAATGTAGCTGAATGTAATATAACCATATCTGACATATATTACCAGTGACATACTCAATGATGCCATAACTGTTAGGCAAAAGTACCCATTCTCAAACAACCAGCCACCTGTGACTCATTACCATGAAACAAAAATATGATTGCAACATGTTTGCTAACATCCAACGTCATTAAAATCTGATGTTTGTGCTCACTACCACTACACACTGATTTGAGGACATCCCATTACAGGTCTCATCAGAACGACCTTTCGTGAACTTTGATTGACTTTAGATTTTAGACTTCAGAGTCCGCGATGAAAGTCTGATCCACACATTGATTGTGATTCTTGGCACACTCCAAATAGGTGACACAATCTGCTGATTTAATGCGTTTACCAACAGTAAGTTCAAAAACCTCCCACATAAAATTAGTTTGTTTTACAATTAAGTAATTTAATTAAAATCAGACCTATTACTCTGGTACGATACCTCTCTGTGTCAAGGTCTGAGGACGCCTCTAAAGAAAGGCGCTGATGTCAGGCGATGTCAGATATAAATAATGAATTAGCTTCATCTTTCAACTGCCTTGATTCTGTAATTTTGATATTAGCAATCGAACAACCTTAATGCTACACTTTTATTTAGATTACTGGTAGATGACATGGCGCTCAGAAAAGACAGGAGTTATAAAATATCATCAACAAAATAAGAGTGAGACTTTATTATTTTGCCTTTGGATTTCCCCAAATATATTCATTTTTGAGATACATGGATCAAATAGGCTCGTCTGATTGCTTCGCGCCCTCGTACCAAGAATTGAAAAGCCTCAAAGTGATCGTATATGGAGATGACCTCATATCTTCATGCATAAAGGTATCATATCAAGGAGTAAAAAACTTGATTTTAACCAGACTGTCTATTAACAGTATGGGTAAGTTAATGTGAAGTTTAATTTTTTAATATTTCTTGTATGAACACTTTGATTGAATTTTGGTCCAAACATCTTGAAAAACCTACAAACAAAAAATAAATAGACCTTAAGATGACATATGTTGCTATGCTGAGATACTTACCAATGGCGACCCAGGGGCAGCTAATAACCCAACCACCTTTTTCACTTCAGGACTGTTTTCCACTTCCTGAAAGATGACAAATGCTTCATGTTAACTATGTTAACTGTATCCTAAGATATAAACCAGTTCAATCCATGTTAACAAGCAGTCCTTGAATGATCTCCTTAATGTGACCACCAGGCAGGGCAACATCAAGCACATCTTTTAACGTCTATTGGTATGTTGCACCCTGGGATTGAACAACTGACCTTCCGCTCTCCTGACAGACATTCTATCCACTAGACCGTAGTGACAGTCCAGCATAGACATACCTCTATATGAACATATTTGCAACATCACCCTCAAAACTCATATTTAACCTTTTCCAAATTTCCACATCTCATCACAGAACCCACTGCAACTCTTGTTAATTTCCACATGATGCTACACAACCAGCGACACTCATACACAACCCCTTCCCAATTTCCACAACTCATCACAAAATACAATTCACCCCTTGTTAAAATTCCACACAACCAACAACACTTATATTTTCCCTATTTTCCCATCTGAGCCCAAATTAACCATTCATCAACCCTATGGCCTTTCTTTACCTCGAGCACTTTCTTAAAGTCTAGCGTCTTGGCATCCTCCTCCTCCTCCTCGTCCTCCTCCGCAATGCCTGCCATCTTGACCTGATGGATGTAAGGAAAGTGAAATCTTTACACGATGTCATAGATGTATATCCACAAATACTTATATGTGTGGCTTGAAACTTATCAATTAACCTTTGTCATTATGAAGACTATATCATCTTTTGCATCTTCCAGAGGCCAGGAAGTGAACTAACTGTAAAAGTCCAGTTTCCACCCTTGCTGAAATTGGCTGGAATTTTGGAATGTTGTTTCGGATGGACTAACGAGTCTATGCATAGTCCAATCAAAATTGCGTACGAACTAGACAGTTGGTTTAAAAACTGCCGTGCAGATTTCGGTCAATTGCAGGATTTGCAAAGCATGTGTACCGCCAACTTGGGGTCAACAGATATCTTGCAAATCTTTTCAAGTTTTTAATCAAGGTGCTCATGTGATTTGATGCACATCGCGAAGTAAGACCCATTTTATCACAATATAGATCTTGATTATCGATCAGATCGTCTTGACTGGGCGCTGCCATTTTGTTTGAAGCAAATGCATGTGATATGAGAGGTGGAATCTGACTGGTCAATAGGAGGGATATAGAAGGGACATAACTCATAATAGCCACTGGTGGTGCTACGATCGAGCCCAGAAATTCCAGCCTAGTTCGGCAAGGGTGGAAACTTGACGGGACTTTTACAGTAAACTCCCTTGCCTCGGGAAGATGCATCTTTGTTCACCACTGCCATTTTGGCCTTGAATCAATGCACATTTTAACCAATCAAAATCTTTAATTATATCTATGGTTCGATTGTCAACTGAGCAAATGGTTTGCTGTGACAAGTCAGTAAACAAGCATGGGTCTGTGACCTTTGGAAAATCGACAAACCAGAGTAATGTGCTGTGATCAAGTACTTGGACAAAAGGGCTTTCCACCAAAAACCATACATTGGTTATACTATGCATAGTCCAATCAAAATCACGAACAGAAATCGAAATCCGGTTCGTAAACTGTCATGCAGATTTCGGTCGATTGCAGGACTTGCATAGCATGTGCACCGCCAACTCGTTATCAACAGATATTTTCCAAATCTTTTCAAGTTTTTAATCAAGGTGCTCACGTGATTTGATGCATTTTGCGATGTAAGACCCGTTTTCTCACAATATAGATCTTGACTGTCGATGAGATCGTCTTGACTGGGCGCCGCCATTTTGTTTGAAGCAAATGCAAGTGATACGAGAGGTGGAATCTGATTGGTCCATAGGAGGGACATAGAAGGTACTTAACTCGTAACAGCCACTGGTGGCGCTTTGATCGAGCCCGGGAATTCCAGCCTAGTTCGGCAAGGGTGGAAACTGGACTTTTAAGTCAATTAACTCTCTTGCCTCGGGAAGATGAGTTTCAGCATGGCAGGGAGAGCCTTGAAGACGACACCTATCCTGGAAGGCCTGTCATGGCATCTGTACCAGAAGTGATCCTGCTGAGAGTCCACAATATGGCGATGACCAACCAGAATATGACTGAGCTTCATATCGCTAGTTCAGTGGGCATTCACAGAAAGTTTCGCCTCTGTGACATCATGCAGTCTCCACAAGAAAAGATTTCACTGTTGTGCAATTCCTTCCTCAGAGGCTTATCTTACCAATCAACCCTGGTAATTATGAAGACAGTATCATCTTTGTTAACCACTGCCATTTTGGACTTGAATTAATGCAAATGTTTAACAAATCTATGGATCAGTTGTCCATGACCTGACCTTTTCACCTTGTAAAGTGACGTGAATCTTCGACCTGACCTCTAACATAGAATACAATTGCCATCCTTATCTCCAGACCCTGCCCTCTAAACTCACCTTCTTATATTCTTCAAGGAACTTCTTAGCAAGAGTCACCGACTCCTTGCCTTTTGTTGTTTGGTAGGACTCCCTGGCAACCTGCAATTAGTTTGAATTTATAGAAAATCTCACCTGAGCGGGGTGGGGTGGTTTCAAGTCTTTAAGACATTTATCTCTTTGGTGAAACCCATGAACAGGGAATAGTACAAAGGATATTAATCAGGATGAATCAGGATGACACAACTGATGATCATCAGATCCTGACACACCTAAGGGATACAACTCTTGATAATTTTCTAAGCAAAGTTTGAAATTATTTGAATACATTATACAATTTTAAAGTGTAGAGAGTGAATGTTGTTTAATGCTGCAGTCAGCTGTATTCAGAGTGAGTGAGTGAGTGAGTGAAGGAATGTTCCTAAATACTGCAGTCAACAGTATTCAGAATGAGTGAGTAAGTGAATGTTGTTTTAATCTATTCTTCAGTGTTAAAGAGTTTTCTGAAGTTGAGAAAAGTTATATCACACTTGATATTTCACTGCAGCAAACATAACACTCTTGACAGAATTATTGTCATGAAGAGTTACCTCCCCTCAAATTGTCTCCCCTTATCCTAAGTGTCTGGCTCATACACAAACTGTTGACGTCCTTTTTATGTTAGTTCCACATTGACAAGGCAAAATAATGACAGATGGTCATTTATGGAGTTAATATCACTTCTTGCTGTTTGTTATTCTCTTGAAAATGTTTCATTATAAACAGTAACTTTCTCATCTAACTCGTCAGTCGAGACTGTTTGTTTCGCAAAGCGCCATTTTTGTTACTTGTTTAATCTTTTGCTTCCAAAAGCTGTCTCGCAGTTTTCAAGAATATTTTTTGTTGAAGTTGATTCTGTATATAATCATTTCGAGAATAGAGAATTTTCGTGACTCTTGCCCTTGTGAAAATATCTCATTGAGAACTGCATGCTCATGAATGAAAGTTGTGCTATTACTTCTACACTTCTCACTACAGATGCTATCAGATCCCACCAACCTTAAGATCATTGCGAAAAAAATATTCAGTGGACGAAGGTGATGTGTGTGGGGCGACCTCCTTCATCTGAAATATAATTGATAATTAAAAATGGAAAATACAAATAGAAATAATTGCGTACCAATCCAAGCTAAGGGAGGTGGAAGCTTGGCATATTCTTTACTGATCAAACAGTTTTTCAGGATCCGCCCAAAGACATAATTTTATTTTCAAACTGGAGGCACTAACCTATTGGTTGGAACCGCAACACATGTATTTCAGGACATGCAACATGACACAATCATATCTGTGTGTGCAAAATATTTTAACAGCAATTTCTGGAACAATTTTTTCAAATCTTCTCACCAAAAAAGACTTGTATATCAAGGTTTGCTCTCATACATAAGGAACTCAAACATCCTCATGGAATTCAGTCTAGAAAGCCCCATATCTTTTCCAAATATTAATTCACATCACAAAAAGATCTTACTCACGATATTGTGTAAACAAGCAGTTCTATTCCTACGTCACACAGAGTGAATTTGACTTTCAGGGGTGTGTATGAGGTTAATCAGGAATGAAGTATCTAGCATCTTCTGTAAGCCCGCTTTTAGCAATATTGCAGGAATATCACGGCAGGGGACACCAGAAATGGGCTTCACACATTGGACCCAGGCTCGATTCCTGACATGGGTACAATGTGTGAAGCCCATTTCTGGTGTCCCCAGCCGTGATATTGCTGGAATATTGCTAAAAGCAATTCCCATGTTGGAAATCGAGCCTGGGTCTTTGGCGAACGCTTTAACCACTAGGCTACCTGACCGCCCCGCTCATGAATGAAGATGAAAATACAGCAGCAGTGATGGCTGAAAGACGAGGCAGGGAAAAGTCCCTGTTGGCCTACAGGATCTGCTGCATAATTAAGGAAATCAGTAAAATGTTTAGAAATCTTCATAAAAGTTATCAGATGCATTATTATGAATCAAGATTTGTTTATTTCAGCACTTGCGTGTTCCATATATTTAAAAGCACTAAATTTATTGTATAATTAACATGATCAAAGCTATCTGACTTTGGGAATCATTTATCTAATATTTGAACTTGAGCAAATTTTGACCCAAGCTGATTTTCAGGACATGTAGAAAAAGACAGTAAAATTCTATGGTAAAAAACTCATCTTGGGTCACCAGGTTTGCTCATTTTGAGTTTAAAAGACTTTTTTTCACTCATTTCAGCCATTCCGATTAAGTTAATCATGCTTTCAGTTTTGCTAAATGTGCAAATAAAAAACAACCATTTGGCCAAAGTGGACCTTTATCTTACCTTGTCCTTTGAGCTTAACACATAAGTAGCTGCATTTCACAAAGATCTGCTTCATGAATTACTTACTTTCAAAACCAGCAGGCCCACTAGGAATATTGCCACAATGTTCATAAGGGTGAGAAGGAGACTTATAGTTCCTAAGATGGCTGCCTCTTTGGCCATATTGCAACTGTAGGTGGGTGTGTACTTGTTGTACAGTAACGGCACACAGGTTGTAGATAGTCCTGGGTATATTGTACTGTTCGCATGTGAAGATAAATTTGTCGTATACATCATGGCTAGTGGTGTATCTACCTGTTAAAATAATGGTGAAAATAATAGAGCATGTTTGTCGTAATATCAATTGCTTGCTGAATACCCTGGTACAAAGCTCAGTTGAAATTTCTCATAAAGTTAATTGACATTGACATATTACTAAAATTTCACCTGCAAAACACTGTGATATATTGAGAGATTTAGGGACAGACCAAGACAAAGGTCTTGTATTTGGTTGAAAATAAGTTGAAAATTTCAGCATTGATGTGACGTAAATTTCTCAAATATAGCCCCTTTAAATGAAAGTTATACAAAGAACAAAATAAAAAATAGTATATTTTCAATCAAACACTGAATTTACATTTCTTTCTTTTAACCTTCTGGAAAACAAGGCATGCATAAAAAGAAATTGATGTGGCAAAATTTCAATAATCAAATTTATCATAAAAAGAGGAGTTGTATTAAATGCTGTCTTGAGTGAGTGAGTGAGTGTGTATGAATTTAAGCCAATTTTAGCAATATTCCAGCAATATCATGGCAAGGGACACCAGAAATGGATCTCACACATTGTACCTATGTAGGGAATCGAACCAGGGCGAATACTTTAACCACTCGGCTACCCCAATGCCCCAAAAAGATCTTTGAACAGTATTTCAGATATATCACTACAAGTCAACTAAGGAAGATAACACAAAATGAAACAGTTCTTAAATGTCTACCACATTCATAAAACCCACAAGCATGGGTATGTTGCTGACACACTAAAAAAAGATTTGTAATCAGGGTGGTACTGGAAGTTGAACCATAATCATAGGATTCTGGTACGCCAAAGGGAGGCAATTCTGCATCTAATGTTTTATTTGCACATCATGATAACACTGGTACGAACCTGCACCAAGGCTGGAGGGGATATTGCAGCTGTTATTGATAGAGCCCACAACATTCCCTAATGATTGAAAAAAATAAAAAATAATAATCATCAATCATGAATATATGAATATATCATCTTTGCTAAAATGCCAAGTGTGTCATGAAGAATACATTGGACAATTAAATTTGTACTTATTGAATGAATGAGTTGGGTTTTATGTCGCTTTTAGCAATATTCCAGGAATATCACGGCGGGGGACACCATAAATGGGCTACACACATTGTACACATGTCGGGAATCGAACCCAGGTCTTTGGTGTGACGAGTGAACACTTTAACCACTAGGCTACCCGACCACCCCTTGTACTTATCGTCAGTCTCACCACAGTCATTGTAAAACTGTAAATGTGACATCATGGCAACACTGCATGACAGCATGACACTGTGATGTCATAACATAGTGACGTTACAACTGTAATCATTTCCAACATTTATTTTTGCAATTCTCACATCTGACTGGGGGCCTAGTCAAGAAGCTGTCTTAGCACTATGTTAATTGTAAGTTCACAACAGAAATTAAGACAGGGTTGGACCTGTCGCAACATTGTGACAAGTTGTTTGAGTTAGACATTGTTCTTGCCATTGTTGGACAACATCCTGCAACTGCAACATGGTTAATGCAACGCACACCTGAAAGTAAAATCTGTGTTGCAAGCTTGTGATCACTGCAACTATATAAGCTTAGCGATCATCTCTACCAACTATATGTATCGAGAATAGGCCGCCTGGTCTTTGGAAGCAATAAAATGTAATTTTGCTGCAGAATTTGGAATTTACATCAGAAGATCTTACGTTCCTTAGTTTTCTTTCTTAATAGAAAAATTGAAGAATTATTTACTCCAAACTCTCAGTTAATGATTATCTGTTCATATTGCTTGAACATATATACAGAAAATCATTTCTCGATAACTAATTATTCGTTAAAAATTGTATTTCATCTCATTGTTTAAATCAGGTAATCCTAAATTCCTGGTCTGGTACCTATTCTCTGATTATCTGACTTGTGAAGATGGGTTGTATCTCCACAGCGTTCGAAATACCTGCCTGCCCGACCGTCCGAGACGGGTTGATTTCAACTCGGCCTGCCAGATTTTCAAATCCCCCTGCCCGACGGTCGGGTTATATTTCATATGTGAAAATATTCTAAATATTTCCTGATGATAAGCAATAATTCACATGTAAAGATGAATGATAAAGTGTAACCAAAAAGACACCCCATTAGCTTTTAGACAACCTAAAATTTAGCGATGCGCTTATGCTACAAGCGGACCGTCTATATACACAATATCGTGCAAAACAAAACAAAGAAGATGATGATAATGATGAAGCCATTGCAAGAGCAGCTGTTACCACGGATATTGCTACTAGATATCAAAATTCTGACTATGAGTCAGAATTCAGTGACCTCGTTGAAGGAAGTGTCAATCACAATGACACTGACAGTGATATGGACATTGATTGAAAGTCATGAGGCCCTATTTAGGAATAAGGATATTTACATGATGTATTCTAGAATATTAAATACAAATCTGCCCTTTAAAGTGTTTGCTATTTCTTTTCTTGTATTACTTCATGTTCAATGAATTCGATTTAAAGTTTTAATTAAAATATCCTGAGAAACATATGATTATAGTGGGCAGGCAGGTTTTGGTCAGGGCTGGCAAGTTTTTCAGCTAGCCAGTCCTGTGGTCTGGCTGAAATTTTTGGGAGTTTCATACCCTGATCTCCATGTACAACATACCCAACAAAGCTTTCATTGATGCAGAAATATCAACTCACAGCATTAACGGCTGGGGGTAGGAGAGAGGCCGAGATGGCCACACCCACCAGGGACCCAGCATTGCCCCCCAGGATCGACAGGGCCACACCTGCCCCCGAGGGGATTGCAATCAGCAGGCCTACAGCAAGACTTCGATGGACACCTCTGTAAACAGGGGAGTCAATCAATGTTACTATTATAAAAGAGAGAATGAATCAGTGTTACCTTTATGAAAGAGTGAGAGAATCAATGTTACTGTTACGAAAGGAAAGTGAATCAATGTTACCGTTATGAAAGTGTGAGTTAGACTGTTGCAGACATATGCTGTGCATGAGGTTAGTGAGTAAGAGTGTGACTAAGCGACTATGAAGTAGACTTTTTAGAGTTGGTGCAGTTATATGCAATATAAAAACCATGTAGGTTCAATAACCAAATAGTGTTTGAAATTAAGGGTGATCCTTGTGTCCTTCTCCTCTTGTGTTTGAATCTAAGGAACCCTAACTTTTAACATAGGATTATGACCAAAAAACTTGACTTTTATGCTTAATTTCACACACTGAAATTTGAGTCTTTGATTGACATTTAGAAGTTGGAAGAACATGAATACATCACACTTTTTTTATGGAGAACAACTTCTATATTCTTTGTAATGATGTTTCCGGCCTTGCACTTTTATACTGTGAATACTGATTAAGTGTAGTGAGTTGATACATATACATGCTGATATGTTTACACATTCTCTGCATATACTGGAAGCCAATTTACTGAGCTACTACCACACTCCAGTCACTTTGTACACGTAACGCTACGTCCTCTACTGACGCTATTCCTGTCATATCTTGCACAAGTAGATGTGTTTCTCTGGACACCTTGATGCTATTTGACTGAGTTACCTAATGACACTCAATGCTAATGTCACATGTACAAGTGACTCTATCTCAGGTAATGTTACGTCCTCTACTGACGCTGTTCCTGTCATATCTTGCACAAGTAGATGTGTTTCTCTGGACACCTTCATGCTATTTGACTGAGTTACTCAATGACACTCAATGCTAATGTCACATGTAGGAAGGAACCTCTCTCAGGTACAGTACGTCCCCTGTCGTATCTTGTACAAGTAGATGAGTTTCCCAGGATGTACCTTGATGCCATCTCCGGCGTGGGCCAGGAGTCCGAGTTGCCCAGGAGCTGTCCATGCACACCAAGTCCACCGTAGATGAAGCCAGCAAACAGACCTGACACAGACAACACAGACGTGGGTGTCACTGGAAGCTTACAGCCCCACAGCGTAACTATATCTGTGTAAAGTCAAGTCTCTTGAAGGCTGACCTACTTTTTTACCTACCCATTTACCTTAACCAAAGTTACTGATTTACCACAACTAAAATGGTTAGCAAGTTAATTCATGCTGAACTGTTATGTTAACTGATGTGTTCTATAGATCACAGATACTACTTCAGGTTATATATGTGATTGGAAAACAAATACCTTCATGCAGAATTATAGATAACATGCAGATAAATATAACTACACAAAGGCTTTGGTGAACCAAATATTAATCTCTGATCTGTGCTAACAAATAGTTCTGAACTTTCCTCTCCCTGGTTGAGCCCCAATTCTGGTATGTTTAAATTGAGGCCTAAAAACTAAATGTTGTCGTACCGATTATACTTAATATAAAAAAATATATACATACTGTAAAAAAACTATAGAAAACAATACAAAATCACTGACATTGTTACCCAATTTACTTCGTTGTTGTTTGCAAAGTATTAATTTTGATATTCATGTTTCGTTTTAGCTATTTGTAATTTTTGACAATGTATCAGCAAGATTTTCTTTAATTTCGAGGTACCGGGAAAATTTGTCGTTTGACCAGAATAGTGAGCAGCTGGTAAGTAATGTATGTTAACATTGACAGTATATGCCACTTTAATGCTTTTATTTCATTATGTCATTTAATTTGAATGACGTTACAGCGGGTTATCTTTTCTATCCTATGATTATGTCAAGAAACTTACTGGACCAGATAAAAAATCCTGCAGATCTGAAATAGCCAAATATGCCAGTACGATGATCTACTGTAGTTCTCCCAAAATCTACATATGAGAGGGAGGTGTCTAGTGAGTTGTTCCCCATAGATGTAGCTTGGCAATGTAGACGAAAATGACCAAACGATCGCATCCAAAAGTGGGAGAGATATGACAATCGATATCAGGAGAAAAGGTGCAAATAATCCATGTGAAAATTGTTAGATTATCCGGGGAATACCAAACCTAACACCCCTGTTCACACAATAGACTTGTCGGACAATGCATTCAGGGAGTCATCATTATTTAAATATGGGTAAATATTTTTAGAAAAAACAAAAACGAGTCGTTTATTTTGTAAATACAAGTAAACATACCAAAGACAAGGCATATTCCCAGCCCAGTGAGTTCAGACTTGATGCCAGTGTTCCTGAGGTCATCGTACTTCACAACTGTGCCGAAAATTCCAGCTAGAATTGGCCCCTGCCAACAGGAATGTACATAGCAGTGTAAAAACACAGGAAAGGTAGTGTATAAGTGAAAACCCCGCTAGAATTGGCCCTTGCCAATAAGTATGTACATAGCATAGTGAAACACAAGGGTGCCAACCACCTTTCGGTATGCTGGATGCCGATCTCTGTTAAATGGTATTCTGGATTCTGGATTCCATTTTTGGCACCCTCCAACACGGGGGAGAGACAGTGTTAGGAATAATGCTGCTTTGTTTTAATTTTATGACATTTTATGTACTTCCTGTTTGAATCCAGATTCAACCAATCACAATGTACGAACTTTGAGTGGAGATATAAGCATGCTGGCTATCATTTTAACAGAACTGTTCTCTCCCAGACCCAGGGCAACAACCAATCACAACGTACGTACCATGAGTGGAGATATAAGCATGCTGGCTACCAGTATAACGGAACTGTTCTCTCCCAGACCCAGGGCAACAACCAATCACAACGTACGTACCATGAGTGGAGATATAAGCATGCTGGCTACCAGTATAACGGAACTGTTCTCTCCCAGACCCAGGGCAGCTATCCAACTAGAAACACAAACATCATTATCAGAGAAAGCATGAGGGTGAATTAGGAGATAAAGTTTCTGTGTTTTCAATTCGATTTGATACCTGTGAATATCTTTTATAATATAGCATTTACTGTGTTATTCTTTTTAGAGTGAGTGAGTGAATTAAGAAATAACCTTGTGAGTGAGTGAAATAAACTTCACGTGTTTTCAGCTTGAAACCTTTAAATATCATATAACACATAGCATTTATTTACTGAGTGAATGCATTAGGAGATAAACTTCTGTTTTCAATTAGATTTGGTATTTTTCTTACTATTTTCTACTATTAAAGTTTAAGAAATACAAAGAACAAGTAAAAAGGGTAAAAAGGCATACATTTCATCTTAATAAGAGATCTTCACAGAATGCATTTCTCACCTTGCGAGGAATATGAGCATGACATAATCAAATGTCAGCCTTGCATTACTCTGAACTGACTCAACCACCTGAAGAGGAAACAGAGAAGTGTGGTGAGGTTCTGGGGCTCACCTACCCAAGATCATCAAAACAGTATTTTTTTCAGCAATTACTTACACATACCAAACAATAAAAGTTAGGTCTCATGAATATTTTTTTGGATATTTATTATGAAATTGTGTGCTCAGTTTTAAATACAAAAAATAGTTGCCAAAAACTATTCATGATCCCTAACTTCTCTTGGTTTAGTATAGATCTAATCTGGCAGACTAAGGCAACAGGGCAAGTTAACAGGGCCAGACCATCTTCTGGATGACAATTAGTAAACTATATATACCCGAATTGATACTGTAAATCTTGAAATTAATGCTTATTTGCGGTGATTAAAGCGCTTCCGTAAAAACAATAAACAGTGTTTTCCCAAAAAGAACACACAGTTTATATATTCTGTTGACTGTTCAGCTATGCACAGGTCAATCAAAACGCTGAATTTACTGTCATGCTTGAGGTCAGCCATTTTGTCTAATATTTTAATTATGTGAACTTTGTTTCTGCATTATTAAATCAAACAACAGCATACATTGTAAAATATAGGAATGTTGCCTTAAAATAAAAGTCAAATATAACAAAGGTGTTTTCTTACAGATTATTTTCCTTGCAATTAAACATTAAATTCAAGATGTGCAAAGCATAGTCTTGGTCATACCTATTACTAATTGTTGTGTCTTGTTTTGTTTGTTTGTTTGTTTGAGGCTGCACTCAGCAATATTCCAGCTGTATGATGGCGGTCTCTAAAAACATCAAGTCTGGACCAGACAATCCAGAGATTGACATCATGAGCATCGATCCATGCGATTGGGATACAATGACATGCATCAACATGAACTAATTCAGTGAGTCTGACCACCCGATCCCGTTAGTTGCCTCTTATGACAAGCATAGTCACTTTTTATGGCAAGAATGGGTTGCTAAAGAAGACCTATTCTACCCCGGATCTTCATGGGTCAAACTGGCACATCTATGTTGAAAAAAGATGTTTAATCAAAGCAATTCTATCAATACTTGTAAACACACAAGCCTGAATGATTGAATATTCCTTCCTCATGTAAGGGTGACATAAATCAGAGATAATGAACTAACCTGAGCCACAACCAATCTTGACTTGATCGAATCCCTAAATTCATGTTCCTTTTCTTCTCTAGAGATGTAGTTCCTGCAAGACAGAAGTGATGCCCCCATACAGAATGAGTGAGTGAGTGAGTATGGTTTTACGCCGCTTTTAGCAATATTCCAGCAATATCACGGCAGGGGACACCACAAAAGGGCTTCACACATTGTACCCATGTCGGGAATCGAACCCGGGTCTTCGGCGTGACGATCGAACGTTTTAACCACTAGGCTACCCGACCGCCCCCCCCACCCCCATACAGAAACAGCAGGAGAAACCAGTGTGAAGTGAGGGAGCCTTCTTTCAATACACTACAACCACCATGTTGCTTTTCAGAAGGTGAAAGCCAGCAGTGTTAGCAATTAACCTCCTTAGTATCCATGAATCTGATGTTCTAGTTTGTGAATTAAACTTGGGCTGTGAGATTACATAAGCAAGAACTGGAGAGAGTCTTATTAGTTGGGCTTAAAAAAATTTAAAAATTGATTCTCAGGCAATGGCTTTTGAAAATGTAGTATGGTGTTTTTCTTTTTTGTGGTTGTTCTACCAGTGTGTGCATAATACACTCAGTCAATGAGGCGAAGATGTTATTGTTGGCATTCAACACAGGCAGAAGCATGTCAAGAAATCTGTGCTGAAGTACGCAAGTTAGTCCTGTTATTACACTATTTGGCTATAAAAGTGTTCACTCAGTACTGAAGGAGTCCCACGAAGGAGCTTGGCAGTGCACATGTAAACATGGTAAAGGGAAGTAACTGCATGCTATATATGATCACAATGTTTTTAAGTTTATTCACTGACAGGGTCGTGTGTTCAAGGTGCAGAATATGTGAGGATTTATTCTTTTTTGAAAATGGAAATAAAAATGAAACTTGCGGCAGATTTTGTGATGATGCTGGCGGTGCCTGAGAAGTAAGACTATTATGTTTTTGGGCCTAATATGGTCAAAATAAACAGGGTAATATTTTGTGTAGGTAAAGAGTTTTATACCACACAGCTCATTACTGAGAGAACGTTATTCACTGGGTCATTTGTAAATACATTATCCGGTGACAGGTGCCTGTGCTTGTCAACAAGTTTTTTTCGGGCACGGGTGACCCAGTCCTCTAAGGCGTCGCGATTCGCTGTACAGAGTTGCGTCCCTTGGGCACACCAGAAAACCATGATTGTGGGTTCAAATCCCGGTTCGCCCTGATTATCTTCCTAGGTTTGTCAGCACCATACCCGTGCTCGTGGGTTTCACCGAAGTGGTAAACGTCTGGGGCCTGCATTAAGCTGGCACGCTGCGATATAACCGGAATACTGTTAAAAGCGGCGTTAAACCCTTCTCAATCACAAGCGAGTGAATGTTATTTCATGTTGTAGTCTGCACTGTCACACCCAATTCACAGCGGCCAGTCACTAATGGAGTTTGGCAGCTAAACAGTTGTTGACGCCATGACAATGAGTAATGGGAGACACATCTGACTGAACAGTAATGGATATTAATGGGGCTCTTCAAGCAAGGTGTATTTTGGATAAAAAAAGAACAGAGTGTCATATGTCATCTGCTGCGCTGCATTGGGTAATATTCCAGCTATATGACAGCGGTCTGTAAATAATCAAATCTGGACCAGGCATTGTGAGCATCAATACTAAGACACCGAATCTGACGTCTGATTCATATAGTCTGACCCGTGAAGATCCGGGGTAGAATAGGTCTTCAGCAACCCATGCTTACCGTAAAAGGTGACTATGCTTGTCGTTAGAGGTGACTAACGGGATCAGGTGGTCAGGCTCGCTGACTTGGTTGATGCATGTCATCATATCCCAATTGCATGGATCGATGCTCCTGATGTCAATCACTGGATTGTCTGGTCCAGACTCGATTATTTACAGACCGCTGTCATATAGCTGGAATATTGCTGAGTGCGGCGTTCAACAACAAACAAATCATACAGTCGCCTCTTCTGACCAGCATAGGTTGCCAGTGACCTATTTCCTCCCTGAAATACCACGAGAAAATTCAATATTTGGCAAGTGTGAAATAGGGCCTATTACCATTTGATTACCAAACTGATTGAAAACGTGAGTGAATGAGCTAAAATTAAACGTTGCATCAGCACTACTTCAGCCATTGATAATAACGATGACTCACAAACAGCCAGGTCCCAGATGAGAGTTGCACTTGCCTGCATGTCCTAACACTAGTATTATCATATAACAAACAATTTGACTCACGCTTCAACTTTGTCTGAAATCTCGGATTCCTCACTTGGTGCTGGTTCATAGCGGAGATGGATTGATGTTGGAAATACGCTGGAGGAAAAAAGGTTGTTAACTTGCAATTAATACAATTTATGTCATTTAAAAGTATGAAAAAATTTGTTTATAAAATGACATGTCTTATTTGCTTTCCACAGAGTCTGTGACCTATTTTTCAATAATGCAAAAAAGTAGGTCAAGTGAGTGAGTGAGTGAGTTTGATCTATATGCCATTTTTGCTTAATGCTGTACATTGTATTTCAGTCACATTTCGTACACTTATGGCCAAAAAAATAATAGTCTTCGTTCTCAGGCACTGCCCGCATGATCATAAAGTTTGCCGCACGTTTCATTTTTACTTCCATTTTTAAAAAAATATAATAAATCCTTAAATATTCCAAGTCCAAGGGTAGTCAAATACTGTATATTTTACTCACAAAAGAATACTTTTTGCAGGCCTTTCCCAGGTTGATTGTACACAATTGTTTATTTGGTTGCACAACACTTTATCTGGTTACATACTAGTTTGAAAAAAAATTAAAAAACACCAAACATGTGACATGTTACTTTGCGTACCACACATGTCTAGCTTCAAAATGTTCAAATTTTATAATCATGCAGGGGCAGTGGGGTGGCCAAGTGGTTAAAGCGTTCACTTGTCACACCGAAGACCTGGGTTTGATTCCCCACATGGGTACAATGTGTGAAGACCATTTCTGGTGTCCCCCACCATGATATTGCTGGAATATTGCATTGGCGTAAAACCATACTCACTCCCTCACTTTACTGATGCATGCAAAAACGTCTGAAAAATGTCCAAAAATTATATTTTCAAAGTCGCTTTAAGTTGGATCAGAAACTGTGAGCAAAGTTTAAAGAAATCATCGCTGGGATCATCCATGCAAAGTCACATGTTGAAAATGTAAAGGTTTACAGTTGTCTCAACCAAACCAGGACTACGTTACCTGAGGGTGGTGTTTGTGAATCTCCCTATACCAATATTGGAAAGACGCGTGATGATTTCCTCACATCTCAGTCCAGATTCCTCAACAAAGGACACCTGCATAGACAGCAAAGAAAGGTTTGTTTCCTTTGTTTGGTTTGTTATTTATGGACATACTCAGAAATAACCCAGCTTTTAAATACTGGAATTCGAATCTGGACTTGATAATCCAGTGATTGACATCATGAGCATCTATCCACAGGACTGGCCTAAGTTGACATGCAAAGTGAAGTCACTGTACCTGACAACCCAATTCATTTAGCCTCTTCTTACGACAAGCATAGGTTGCTAGAGACCTGTATTCTTACCCAGAATTCCCATGGGTCAGGCAATAATGGGACATACCGTATTCGACATAATAAGCGCCCAGGGTGCTCTCAAAGTTAGAAATAGGGGGCTCTTATTAGAATATTATTTTGGTGAAAAACAACAGAGTTGAAAGATCGTAAATTTCGTGGTTTATGCTGACAGCCTGAAATGTTTATATACAACAGATATATTTTTTGCAGAATTTAATTTCCCATAATTAAGAATGCATATAACATAAGTATTATACACGAATAAATAAGTCATGTGTACATTGATCAATCGGAAGGGGTGCTAATTAGGATTTTCACTAGCCAATATATTAGAAAATATCGCCGTGGGCGCTTATCAGAGCGGGGCGCTCATTGCGTCGAATACAGTAGTATTATTGATCATTCAGCAGAAGATATCTGCTCAGGGATGTTGAAGGTTGACCAGGGGAGTGAGTGCATGTTGTTTAATGCAGCAGTCAACATTTCCTTCATATCAAAGCAGCCTGTAAATAATGGTCGCTGGGGCAGACAAACCAGTGGTTGATAGCAAAAGCTACATGGTCTGTCGTGAGTGAGTGAGTGAGTAAATATTTAACGTCACATCGGCGTCATATCGTGACAATGGTCTGTCATGATGACACCTAAACCGTCAGGTCCAATATGTCCCATCTGATCCGGATTTTGTCAGCTTGTAAGAGTTGCTGGATTGCCTAGTGTTGCAATATCAAGTAATGACTGCTCCCTATCATATCACTGTCCAGTACAATAACTGATCCCCGTACATCCAGGCTTTTAAGATAATAGCCTCTGAGAGTAAATGTGTGAAGTCCGACGGGCTTCTTGTTGTCTCTGTAATTAGTGTTTGGATAACATGGGATATTGAAACACCTAGGACCTATTCTATCCTTGAATTCCCAATTGTTTTTATGCTTTTAAAAATATAAAAGAAACCTTCATTAATTCTTACTGTTAGTTGGGTGAATGAGTTACCTGGACAATGTTTTCTTGGAGAGACGTCTGCCAAACTGCATTGTCAATCTGCAGGGAGACGAGGGTCTCTTTCAGTCTCTGGAAACATGAAAATGTGAGTGAGAGAGGGCTTTATACTGCTTCCAGCTATATTCAAGTAATATTACCAGAAATGTACCGGTTGTACCAGTGGGGTCTGAACCCTGATCTTCACCGTAAGGTATGAACGCTTTAACCACCAAGCTACTCTACCACCCCTGAAACATGTCTAAATGACAGATATTCAGTTATGCTATTGACACACTCTGACAAGGAAAATGACACCTGAAGTGTAGGCAATAAAATTATTAACTCAACAATGAATATATGCTATCTACAGCTATCTAATGCAATGCTAATAGTGATCAGGTTGGTGATAGAGAGTGTTTGGTGCTTGTCAGCCATAAGACACCTGTGGCTCAGAGTCCTGTGCAGAACACATTGGTAACAGCGTTAGAAATTGGCACCAGTCCTGTTGTCCTTCCATAACTGCCCAATAGTTAAGATATCATAAGGACTAGTAGAAATTTACCATTTATAAGGGTTTTACTATATGTTACAATTATAAGGACTCGTGAACTAAAAATGTTAGTTTCTATTGCTGAGGTGACTATTCAGGTGATGTTAAAGCAATGCTAATTGGTGAGGGTAGGTGGATGGGTGATATGTTTTTAGATTTAAATTACCTATGACTTGTAAATGATTAATTTTATGCTAAGTATGAACTAGGTTGATCCACACGATCCATGAAATGTTAAAAATTTGAATTTTCTGCCTTCTCAATGTCCATCTTAAACATGGTAATCCTGATAAATGTTACTATCATACCTCCATGTCAGAATGATGAGATCTGAATGGTCCATGCAATCTTGATAAAATACTGTGTAACCCGCCTTGGTGGGTAATAAATTTCTCAGCGAGGAAATAAATCTCTTATACCCCGCCATGAGCAATACAGGCTGCACGTGGATTTCTGAGAGGCAGAAAGAATCTGTTACACCCCGCTTCAACACAAGTTAACCTCAGCCAAAGACGTATATAGATACGTCCGTGCCTCAGCCCAATCGAACAGCTGTTTTCTATCAAGTTTGAATTTGTGTTAATTCTTTTACAATGTCACATTTATGTCGGTAAGATAAACTGTTGTAGCAGGATCACTCAGGGTACATGGGGTTTTATGCATCCTTTGTTAGGTTCTATACCTCAAGCTGGAGGTCCACCCTATGTACCCTGAATAATCCTGCTACAACTTATAATGTTCTGTGGCACTGAATTATTAATTTTGTATTGATATTTAAATCAATCAATAAAAAATAAAACCTATCATGAAGCATCGCAGGCTAAGTCGGCTGAGTTATGCTCCTTAGTCAGGCAGGATCTGCTGATCCCAGTTTTTGAATCCCAGTTTCGTCTTGGTGAGGATCCTTGATTTGTCAGCACCATGTAACTGAAGTGATCAACATCTTTCACTTTTACCTGATTCTAAAGGATATTTTTGCCCTTAATCATTTACCCAGAGAAAGTGGCAAAAGTTATTAATCTCTGTTCATCATTTCTGTCTTCTAGCATACATGTACTCACATCTTTCAATGAATCTTCACCGAGCAAATCTACAAAAATGCTGCCTTCTTCTTCATCATTGGATTCTGTTTTGACTGTGGGTTCCTGTGCTTCACCAGTTATCTCCCCTGATTGTTTCTCCACCGAATCTGGCACATATTCTTTGTTCTCTGTATCCGGTACAGCATCTACTTCAACGTCTGTCTCAGCTGAAATCATATGCTTGCTATATTAACACAAACTGATATGGACATCTTTTATTTCAGTGAAATTTAACTTTAAACCCCCTTGGGAATTCTGCATTAGAAAAGGTCCCCAGCAACCTATGCTTTATGTATATGTGAGTGACCATGGTTTTACACCGCTTTTAGCAATATTTCAGTAATAACAGCAGGGGGATATTGTACCCATGTGGGAAATGAACCCTGGGTTTCGATGAGCGAATGCTTTTACCACAAAGCAACTCCACAGTTGCTCGTCACAAGAGCAGGGTTGTATCAGTAATTCAAATTGTGGTTTTCTTATATTCTTGGATATTTTTTAAATTTCATCAAATTCCAATATGTAAAACTAAACATTAAAGTCCTTCCTGTATATTGGTCCTGTTTGCTGTATGCTCTGTGAAATGCAAGTCAATTCTCCAAAGCCATACTATTAGTAATACAGTATTCGACGTAATAAGCGACCCGCTCTAATAAGCGCCCACGGCGATATTTGCTAATATATTGGCTTGTGAACAATCCCAATTAGCACCCCTTCCGATTGGTGAAAGTACACAGAACTTATTTATTCTCGTATAATACGCACTCGAGTGTTATAACACCCTAAATAATGGGCAATTAAATTCTGGTAAAAAATATATCTGTCGTATATAAACATACATTTCAGTCTGTCAGCATAAACCAGCATAAATCTTTCAACTCTGTTTTTTTCACCAAATTAATATTCTAATAAGAGCCCTATATTTCTAATTTTGAGAGCGCCCTGGGCGCTTATTATGTCGAATACAGTAACTACAACATCCTGACTTCTAAAATTCTTAATTTCAATTTGGGATTTTCTCTAATATTTGCTGCAGATTTGTGGCTATGATTCAACCTCTGAGAAGGTCTTGATAAATTCCTGAAGAACAACTAAAAGGATCAGTGTGGGTGGGCGGTGAAACTTTGTCGCTCTTGTTGATGAAGTGGTTGATAGATCATTCTGTCAGCGTGGATCATTGCTAATAATATCAATCACTGGACTATCTTATAGTTAGCCACAGTCTTAGTGCTGGAATATTGCTGAGCGTGGCATAAACAACATTCATTCACTCAATCACTCATAAACCTTTAGTCTTGGGGTTAACTGCAGACTACTGTATCAATATGCCAATCAAAGCATTATAGATCTACCTGAATTGGCGCTGTAATACCTTGATTGGTATATACTATTATTATTTTTCTCCTGAGAAAAGTTTTTATCTATTTGTGAAGCTTAAACTTAATCCTTTTATCCATTCATGGAGTGGGCAAAATCTTCAAGAAAACTTTGATTTCAAAACAGAAAAATTTGCCAATGCATATTTGTCCATAGATCTGTTACAAGTAAATGGAGGCAAGGCCGTAGTTAACTTTTTTTGACAGGGTGGGGGCAAATATTTGTACAAGTATCACTTGTCCCCAACTTGATTCAAATAAAACTGTTTTCTATAAAAAAAATAATCTAGGGGGCAACTGCCCTCCCTGCCACCCTACATAACGTTTAGTGTGTGTACCGCCAATACCCTGTTCCTACTTACACAGGTGACCCTCTGATTCTACAACCGGACTTTTCTCAGACTCATCTGCAGTTTTCAAAGAAGTCTCAGCTATTGGACTGGGTGAGGTCCCATCGACCACGCCCCCTTTCGCGTCCACGTTCTCCTCTCCATCTCCCTTCTCTTCCTCTCCATCCTTGGCGAGCGCAACTACATCTGAATCCTGCGGTATGTTAATAATGAACAAAACAAACGCCATTTCCAAACTTCACATGAACACAACTTGACGACCTGACTACACCGGGTTTGACTTCCTGGTACACGGCAAAACCACGAACTTGGTTCCATCTATAAAGAAAAAGCGCTTCGATTGCTAAGGGCATTTGCGTCTTTCAACAATATAACCACATTTACAGGCGGTGACATACTGTATTTGTTCCTTGTGAAATATTAAGTAACGCATCCTTCATCGTAACACTGATATTAAACAGTGAACAAAAAATTGAGTAAATGTTTGGTGATACATAAATTGCATATTCAATAACCAAACATCCTTTTGCGTGTAAGTTTTTGGGACTGCTTAAAAGTCGGGCCGGGCCGGGCCGGACCAAGACGTGCGAATCTTATTATTGGCCAATTTATACATTGTCGACGACCATAAATATAAATTAATGATGCAGCGTACACACGTGCCATTAATAGAAACCACACACCATAATGTAATGTGCAAAATAATAAAAGTTCTTGAGAGCAAATCGCTCAAGAATCAAGAAGTCGAACGGTGTGCAATCTTGGCAAAGTTACATGAAAAAGTGGAATCGTTAAACGAATTTGGATTGATACGTACCAAATACTCGCAACTGCCGTCATAAATATTGTCCGACGGAGCTGGATCTAACTATGTATGGAGATAAGATGACATGATATATGGCATTAAGTGCATACAAGCAAGGTAGTTAAAGAAAGCCATTTTGTCCGATTTGCCACGGGCGGTCAAAATCAATTAAAAGAAAACCGATGTATCTTGAAACATGAACAATATTTAATCTTACTAATTACTTACCAAACACTTCCGTTGGAGACTATGTTGATAGTTTGCAAGAAAGGGCTTCACTTTAGCAGACTATAGTATGTCTAAAATACGTGTCCATTAAAAATATAAAATGGGTAGATTAGATAGTGTTTCTTTGTATGATGCATCTGTGATGTTTTGGATGCTTTTAACCACCCGGTCAAGTCGGGCCGACCACACACCAACTCTTGCATTTTCCCGAGGCAAGGGAGTTAACTGACTATAAACTGACGTCTAAAGTCAGTTAACTCCCTTGCCTCGGGAAGATGAACTGTTGTGGTGGAGACGATGTTGGGAATATTGGGGAGGGGTGGGTTACTTCACTTGGTGGAACGTGTGTGGGCTCAATCAAGTGTACCAGAATTCACGAGTGATTGGCGCTTATGTGACCACGTGAAACTAAGCCCAATCTACAAATGTGTGTGTTGACTTCAGATACCGCGAACTGTGGCCATATGAAGTGGTAGTTAGGTAGACACAATACTATGCTACGCATGTATAGCACATTTAATGATATATCTGTGATGTTTTTGTTGACTGTGACCACCCGGACCAAGTCGGACCAAACACTTGTGATAGAGATTGACTTGAGAAAATTAAGCAAGGGACTCGCTTTAACGGACGAGTTCGTTTAGGATACGATGAACTGTAACATTTTAATGTGGTATTTAGATAGATTATATAGTGTTCTATACATCATAACACTTTTCATGATATATCTGTGAGGTTTTAACCACCCAGGCCAAGATGAACCGAACAGCGACGAAACACTTAGATTAAACATATTCTATTCAACTTTATTTAAAAGGGTTTGGTTAACAGGCTAGACTAACATCTAGTCTCTGAAATGAACATATCGTACATAAAAAAACAGTTGTTCAGTTATCTTAATAAAAATATGATAAAAAGGAGCCCAGTGACTCTCTTCATTTTCAGATACTGCAGTGATCTAGACTTGCCAAACATTATAGACTTGCATGGGCTGTATTTGATATATATTTGTATCAGGGTCTATAAGACAGACTAGTTAACAGGTCTAACATGCTGATATCAATGCTGATCCCTGTTTCATCATTACATTAGTGTAGACATACAAATTTAAAGGTCAAGCAGAAACAATACATAATATAAAGGAAAAAGACCACCCATGCTACAAGTTCAGACTTCAGACATTAGTATGCTGTGGTTGACATCACTTGTTAAATTTCCGTTACCATACAACATTGTTTTCTGATCAAAAGAGAATTGGAGAAGCGGAGACTGACTCTAAATAAAACCCGCACTTATATGATGCAATATTTGAAATATGTTTTTCAATTGAGATCACCACGTTCAATTTTTAAACGAGCATGGGCAATTTGACAATATCGAATAAAAGCGTCTTCCCACGATTACAACATTCTGTGACACAATCGCACCAGGGAGTTAATACAAGTGAATAGTTTAAAAGCATAGATTTCATGATAACAACCTATTCACTT